ACCTGCTCCTGCCACTTCTCAAGATCAAAATTCTGCAGCTCCAACAAAACCAGATAACATCAACAACACGACAGAGACTCCTGACATTCCATTGAAGTTGCCGCGAGCCATCAGTTCTACATTAGCCAATAACACCCTGAAAGATAGAAACTCTAGCTCCAGTGATTCTTCTGTTCATGATAAGGATTTTCACCTGCCAGCTCCCAAAAGCCCTCAACGGAGGCCAAGGACGAAGAACGAGAAAGAAAACCAGTGAGTTTTTAGTTCAACAGATGTTGATTCTTGTTGGTTTGGTTACTAGGAGAAGTTCCAACATTCTTGTCAATCTTAAGTGTGAGTTTTTGAGGTTCAGCCTAATGGTAGGCCAAACCTGTTTACTAGCAATCTGTGCTAAATGTTAAGCTTGATGATGGGTTAAAACCTTAAAACCCTGTTTTAGGAAGTTGGTCATGTTTGATTTTTATCTCCTTTGTCATGTTACATTGTACCCAACTTCCAAAAAAGCTACGAGGAAAATGTAGTTTATATTTTAAGTGATGTATATTTTTTATTTTTATTATATACATTTTTAAATACTCCGTATGATTTACTTACAAATTAAAGAAATTGTGTTAATTATTTATAAAATCAAATTGTACTTTGCGGTGGCTTTTTAGGAAGAATTGTTCACCTATGCCGTGCCGTAATTTAGTACTACTATCTGTCCAACAACCCAAGTCAATATTCCATGTTCCGTTTGTAAAGAGATATTCAACAAAGGACACTAGATACATTTGCAAGTTTTGGTACACCTAAGAATCACGTTTGGTCCAATAATAATTAAAGCATGTGGAATTTAATTTGTTTGACACAAATAGTGTTATTTGATTTAAATAAAAGACTACAAGGAGGTAAATTTTAAGTTATTTATAACTAACTAGCTTCAAATTAAGAAGATCACTCTCACCCGTATTTTTGAAGGACAACTCTCGACCAAGTTAGTTGGATAATTGTCTTTGTAACCACAAGGTCTTATGTTTGTGAACTTAAGACCTTGTGGTTACAAAGTCAATTATCCAACCAAGTGACCAACTTGGTTGGGAGGTTGGGAGTTGTCTTTCAATAATAGTATTCTCGAAAGCAAAGAAGAAATAACAAAGCTAATAATCAAGATTCCATATGAAACGTAACAAAATCACTCTAATACAATCAGTCGCTAAAAGTGATCTAATAAACTAATACTAGTAATGGGTGATTAAAGATTTGAAGGTCAAATTGTAAAGCCCTAAAACTTGTTGTCATTCAATCTACACATGTATTTGACCAAAATAAATAAATAAATAAATAATTGCCACCTTAGTAACATCATTTTATGCACTCTCACAAATAAACACACGTACGCAGACTCTCTCTCTACTAGTTTTTGCATATATTGGGATAAGACTAATGTAGTCAAGTCTTGACCAGACCTCATTTGGGAACAATTCTCTCATGAGCGTGACTATATGCACATAGGTTCTAAGCAATTTAAACCCCTTCTATTTGAACCAATATCTTTTATTATTTTTTTAATAGTAAAATCGAGAGTTAACATTTAACGACTAAACATTGACAAGTATGTGTCATACACAACATATTGTCAATTTATAGTTTACTTTATAGTTTCTTTTTTTCCAATAAATGCAAATGGATGTTCTTTTCGTATTGATAAATAATAATAATAATAATAATAATAATAATAATAATAATAATAATAATAATAATAATAATAATAATATACACATATAGACAATATCAATATATATTGGAAATAAATTGAAAGAATAATGGTTATGATGGCAAGCAAAGTCAAAAATTTAATTTCTTGTAGAGACAAGAAACTCCCATGCAATTTCTGACCACATGTGAGACGTACCATACAATCCATAAAGCATTTCCGATTTGTTTCTATCAGACCAAAGGGTTCCATGTGCACCCACACATTATATTGTTAGTTAGATGACACAATACCATCAATGATTGAAGATGAATCCCATAAAAAAGGTCAATATTTTTTTTAAAAAATTTAATTAATTCGTTAATTAATTTTCTATGGATCTTGACAACTTATCCTATTTGTCTTTATCATTAATCTCCTTTGTCATAATTAAAAAAAAAATTAAAAAAAAAACTTAAAAAATTGACATAAGATCGCATATTTAATAGTTCTTATTATTGTTTAATGTATGTGTATGTTATTAAAAATAATATAAAATGCCCCAAAAGGAGTTATCGAGCGGGTAGAACATGATTATATTCTCGTATCAAAATGTCACGAGTTTTTTTTTTTTTTTTTTTTTTTGAAAACAAATGTCACGAGTTTGATTCTTGAAAACATCTTCTTCGTTGAGCCCGTTGCACAAAGTTTTCCAAGTGTGATTTACATCATTGGCAATTTCAATGTAGTTTTCAGTGTTTAATAATAATAAATATCCTATTTAATCTATAGGGAAGGGTCCAAGTGCGGGTATAGCTTCCCGTGCGGTTGTGCGGTTAGATCTGAGCCATTGATCAAATCTAGATCAACGACTCAAATCAATGAAAATTAAAAAAAAATAAAAAAAAACGTGTCTGAAAATAAGAAGCATAAGCTAAAAATGGCGCACCTTAAGTGTTAGATCTTAAGCACAAACTCACACACATTAAGTACAAAATCCACGCACATTAAGCACAATCTCACGCACATTAAGCACAAAACTCACACACTTTAAGTATTAACTCACAGACCTTAAGTTTCAACAACTACTGACATTAAGCACAAACTCACGCACATTAAGTACAAAACTCACGCAAATTAACCACAACCTCACGCACATTAAGCACAAAACCCACGCACTTTAAGTATTAACTCGGAGACCTTAAGTTTCAACAACTACTGACATTAATCACTAACCTCACACACATTAAGCACAAACCCTACGCACATTAATCACAAACTCCACTCACATTAAGAACAAATCTCACGCACCTTAAGCACAAAAATCCACACTTTAAGTTTTAACAATTACTCACATTAAGCACAACCCCACACACATTAAGCACAAAACTCACGCATCTTATATACAAAACTCACGCACATTAATCACAGAACCGCTACACCCTAATTTTGACCTAGATGCAAAAATTACAAAATTGCCACCGCATTTTTTTTTTTAAAAAAAAATTTGGTAATCCTGGACGTTGATTTAAGTGAGATAAATGGCCCAGTTTAAACCGCGTCTGTCGTTCGTTATCAAATAACATCTAATTTTTTGCCGCCACCGTCTTACACCCAATCATTGTTGACACTCTGAGAGGAAAGTATTGTAGAGGAGAACAGAGAAAGAATGGAGAAGAGATATATTAAATTTAATGGAGATATAACAACATTTTTCATGTACATAACTATAACCCCTAATCCACTATATAACTACTGTTTAAGAAACATATTAGGGAAAAAAAAAAAAAGAAGAGAGACCAAATCCTTGTCTGACACAACCCCAATGGCCAAGAAGTTGACACTTGACACAAACAGACGTGGCCATTCAAGTTGCTCTGGCAATCCAAATCTGACGTGGCAACCAACATTTCTTTGTAAATTGGATTGTCCTTCTCAATCCTTGTCACCAATCATATCCACTCAATTTTCCTCAAATGCCAATGCTACCCTCATAAATTTGATAAGAGGTTTTCAAGAAATAAAATAAAATTTGATAAGAGGGTCCGAAATATAACTGAATTAGTTTCATTTGGTCAAATGCAGATAATCAGTAGTATAGACGTATAGTATTAAAAAAAAAGTTTGATTTAAGATTACAAAGTTAGACTTAGCGGGACAAACTTTTTAACATTCTCGATATTTTCTTGTAGTTCTTTGCCGACTAGAGTTACAAAATATGATTTATCTAGTGGTGGTAGTAAATTTTTATCGTTACTCATAAATTTTTTTTTTATGTGATCAGAAAATTCACAATTACTACCTCAAGACATACACGTAATAGCTTGCATAAGTAGCTCAACTTGTCACAGAGATAAAATTTATCAAAAAATATCAAGAATTAAATCACTATAATTTATCACTTCACAATCTTATCAGACCCGAATGTATGGCCGCTAACTTATGTATATTATATCACACACAAATAAATAAATACAACACATTTTTACTATAAAAAGTGTAAGAAAATAAACTAAGAATATATATTTTATTAAGATAAGACATAGCAAAAATTGAACCATTTTTACAGAATCATATAAGAATATTATAAGTACAAGTATTATATATAGTGTAATACAAATAATTCTACAATATAATATTTGGTGTTCAGGAGTTGAGCTGTATGAGAAGCTGTGATTCCTGTGAAGAAGAAAACAATCACACGGCTTCAAACTACTGAGTCCTAAAGATAGAGAACACCCTAAAGCCTTTCTCTTCACTCCTTCGCTCTCTCTAAATCTTTATCTTCTTCTTTCTTACAAACATCAAATTCACAGTTCGGAAAGCTTTTTATGTAAATATTATTATAGCGTTTAGCAGAGGCCTCTGATCATTATCTATTTTTTGTTCCTTAAGGTATCTATTCTTCTTTTTTTCTGGGTTGATTCTAAATTTTCAGAAAGTATTCGACTTTTTGATACTTGAGGAAAGTACTATGATTGTTTTGTGAAATCCCAGGTTGGAATTTTTTAAAAAGTGGCCTTTTTTCCCTTCATCTTTGGGTCTTTCTATCCACATCTTTTGCATACGTGCGTTGTTGTAAAGATCTGAGTTTGTTGTTTGCTTATTGGAAAATATATGGGTTTTGTAGGAATTGTAGCTTCTTTCTTTCTTTCTTTTTTAATCATTATTTTTTTTTTTTGAAAAAAAAAAAAAAAAGTCTTTTGTTTTTGATTCATTGAAAAGAGCACCTTTTTCTTCATGTTGTCTACTGCATAATATTAACGTGAATTATTTACTATTAATTTTTTTAACGAGAAAAAGGGGAGCAAAATCCAGCTAGTTTTGGTAAAATTTTAAGAAATTTTTACCTTTTTGATAAAAATCTGAACTTGTGGTTTTCTTTTGCTTTAGCGAAAAAGGGCTATTTTTAGTTAATACTGTGTCTCGTTTTCCATCTTTTGGCATACTTTTGGGTGGTGTTTCTTGGTTGTCATTTTGTACTTTTGTTTCAAGTTGAAAACGTTTGACTTGTAAACGTTGAATGGTACAAAGATTAGAAAAAGGAAAGGGGAAAATGAATGAGAGATTGTTATAATAGTGAAAGGGTTTGAGGTAGTTTTTGTATTTCTTTGAATGAAGTTGGGATTTTTGACAAGGTTCATGTGAGCCCTTTAATCTGCTCTCATTAATTAACCCCCTTTCCCTCTCCATTCTTCATTCTTGAATTTTGCTTCAAAGCATTTACTGGTGATAGGGTTTTGATTTTGATTTGGGGATTTTAAGTTTCTAATTGTGAATTTTTCTTGGAGCAGGATAACCAATCTGGTTGATTTGGTCAGCATATTGAGTTTTGAATTCTATCTGGTGAAATATCTGTTTGAATACCCAGAGTATTGGATTTCGGTTTTCGCTTGAAGATCCAAGCAATTCTTGGGCTTTTTGCAGAATGGCTATAGCATTAACCTCCCTGTCATGGTGGCTGTGGAGTGGGAAACACCAAGAACCCAAAATCTCGAAAGGGAGTACCTTAAACCCATTGCCTGAATCTGGGTTGTGGGAATTGGATACCGTGAAGTTTCCCCTCGATCGCAGGCAAAATATGGCTTCCACTTCCAGAAGGGTTAAGCGGAAATGGCACAGCAGGGAGGAGAGGAAGGTTGATAAAGAGTATGACATTGTTCTCGTGCCATCGGACGGTGGATGTGTGTCGGGGTCTGATTCTGATGATTCCGATTGGTCAATTGGATGGATGGAGCCTCATGGCTCGGGCTTCCAAAGTGACGATGAATCAGATGATAGTTTCGCTGTGCTGGTTCCTTGCTATGGGCGCGGTGGTGGTGGTGGTGGAATCAATTTAGCAAACAATTTGCAAGAACAGTTTCTGTGCACCATTCGAAACATCCCAGATATATATGCCACAGGTAAGATGATTACCCCCTTTTTACACTTATTTGGTATATTCGGTGCAACTTTATTTAATGATTAAGATGATTAGCTAATATCGGTCTTCCTGAAGTTATTGATGATGAGTAGTAATTCTGGGAAATTTATGTTGTTGTGTTTGCTTATATTGTGTGGCAGTGCATTAAAAAAACGAATGAAGTATGAAATAAGAAACAGATATCCTCAAAAACTCTCGGTTTAATTTGCAGACAATGCAGACAGCAAGACATACATGGAACAATGGCTTTCCTCACTTCAGAATCGTTAAAGTCTCACAAACAAGAAAGGCGGGGAATCAAGAACACTAAGATACGAGAATAAACAGCAGAGGATTGAAATATTGTGCTTCCTATATGATCGTGTGTCTAAAGTAAAAGACGATGAAGAATGTAAATATGCAATTTTAGTACTAGGTTGATTATATGGTGTCTTGTCTCTTGGCTCTCTAGCTTAGGCTTAGAAAACGCTAAACCAGAACGAGGAAGGGAGAAGGCGGGGTTATGTCGTGTGCCTTACAAACATTCTTTGGAATTTGGAGTATATAATTATGTGACATCTATTGCTTGGTTCTTTATTCTACCTTGTTGCATATAGATCAGTTTGATTGTGAATGAAGATGTTCTACTGTAAATAACTGGATAATGTATCATCCCATTATAATGTATCAACTTTATTCTACCTGTTGCATATAGATCTGTTTGATAATGTTTGATTGTGACAATGAGGGGCAACCCCCCCCCCCCCCCCCCCCCTTTTTTTTTTTTTTTTTTTTTTGTAACACTCGTTATTCTTTACACAAGATAGGATCTCTTTTATACTTTCTCAATCATTTTCAACCCAAAGAATCAATGCCCGAGGTTTGATATTTAGAATGATAACAAAGATGTAATCACACTACATAATAGTTGACAGGGCAACTCCATCTAGATTGGTCAGACAAGGAGCTGTCTATTGGCCTTCTTGATTTGAGCTGTCTATTGGTTTTCTTGGTTTAAGCTGGTCAATTATGGGTAACATAGATTAGTTTACCAATCTTTTATCAGCTAGGGTCACAAGGTAGACTTCTCCCATAGCGCACCTTCGAGTAACAGTTGCGAATTTTCTCGCAAATTAAAGTATAAAACCAATGAAAGTTACTTTGTAGATTGAAATATTAAAAAAAAAAAAAAAAAAAAAAAAAAAGTGCCAAGCCTCAATGGTCTATTGTCTACAAAATTACATGCCAGATTCAATATTTGCTCCTACATCTGTGCTTTCTCTAAAGATGCAACAAATCCTCCTCCATTTTTGGCTAATGCCATGCACCTTCCTCTAAACAGTTAACTTTTTTCCTTTCATTTTTTTTTTTCCTTCTTTCCCAGTCATAGAAAAAACTTTAATTCTTGTTGTTGTTTTTTTTTTTTTTTTTTTTTTTTGAAGAAAGTTCTTGTTGTTGTTGTTGTTGTTGTTGTTGTTGTTGTTGTTGTTTTTTGAAGAAAATTCTTGTTGTTTTGTAGGTCATTAGAAATCTATGATTCTGATAATCCTTTTTGTCTTGTTCACAATGATCGATTAGTCCCAATTCTGGTTTTGTAAGAGAGGCAAAGCAATGTGTATCTGAGCATCTTGACAGTTGATGAACTTTCAGAGAAGAAGGGAGGAAGAAAGATGTTGCAGAGAGCAGCCAAAAATGCATATTCCTGGTGGTGGGCTAGCCACATTAGAACAAAACAGTCAAAATGGCTGGACCAAAACATACGAGGTATGTTCTCTTCACTCCCACTGATCTTATGTTTTTTTTTTTGTCTCATTTTATAATCCATTTTGTTCTTGGAAATTTTGATGACATAGAATGTTGCTTGATTTGCTTGATGTTCTGTTCCATTGTCACTTAAGATCCATGAAGAGAATAGGAGAATAGGGGAACAGGAGAATCTTAATTATGCATAACAAATGTTTGACAATATGCCAATTCCCAAGAATGGTTGATTAAAGATGAGAAAATGGTTGATATATACTGCTTGGATTGTGGTTGCAGATATGGAGGAGAAGGTAGATTACATACTGAAGATCATAGATGGAGATGGAGACTCGTTTGCGAGGAGGGCAGAAATGTACTACAGGAAAAGGCTAGAACTCTTGAACTTTGTTGAAGATACATTCAGGAACTACAGAGCTCTAGCAGAGAGATATGATCACTTGTCAAGAGATCTGCAGACTGCTAATCGAACGATTGCAAGTGTGTTCCCAGAAAAAGTTCAGATATCGATGTTTGATGAGGATGGAGAAGGCTTTCTGACAGGAGGTTCGGCTGCTCCTCCCGAGCAGTGGAGCAATGATATGCCAGCGGCTCCAAACTTAACCATCCCGAAAATCGTGTCAATGATGAAAAAGAAGAGTGATAAGCCTTCAAAAGTGATGACTAAGAAGGGATTGCTCAAGTTCAGTGCAGATGATGATGCTAATTTCAATGCCAATGCCACTGCAGGCTCAGGGCTGAACAAAGATGAAGCTCTTCTGGAGATTGATAATCTCCAGAAGCAGATTTTGGCAGTTCAGACTGAGAGGGAGTTTGTGAAGAGTTCATATGAACACCAGATAGGCAAGTACTGGGAATTCGAAAACCAGGTTTCAGAAATGCAGGCTAAAGTTAATAGGTTACAAGACGAGTTTGGGATTGGCACGAATATTGAAGACGAAGAAGCTAGAAGTCTGATGACCTGCACAGCACTGAAGTCATGCCGGGAGACATTGGAGCGGTTACAACAACAACAGGAGCAATCAAATGAGGCTGCCAAGACTGAGAGCCAAAAGCTTCATAATGCTAAGCTAAAATTCGAGTCTATCGTGAAGGCACTCACTGCCAACCAGACCATCAGACATAAAGTATCTGTGGATCTGAACGAGGAATCGAAGAAATTGGAGCAAAAACTGGAGAGTTCTCATTTGGAGTCTTCAAAGATTAAAGAGGACTCAGAATTCTGTACAAGCACTTCTTTTACTGTGTCTGAACTGGCAGAAAAGGTTGATGATGCTGTGGAAAAGGTCATAGGTTTGGAGATTTCAGCGTCGTCTCAGAACGCTTACCTTAACAGATTGAAGACGGAAGCAGATGAGCTTCTTGTACAGCTAAATCAGGTGGAAGAGGAAAAGGAGGCTCTGGTTAAAGATTCAGAGGACGCGAGTAAGAAGATAAGAGAGCTCGAGGAAAAGCTTAAGAGAGTTATGAAACTTGAACAAACCATTAATGACCAGAGCAGCCATTTGCAGACTCATTTTTCTGATGCAAATTCCACACTTGATGGCCTCTCTGTGAAACTCAAAACCGTGCAACCAGATGAGGAGGTCGACGATAGTTCTTATTCCAGTTGTTCAGACGTTGATTCACAGAGCGAGTTTCAGGTGCATGGAAACGACGAGGTTGAGAAACAATGTGGTCCCTATCCCATTTCTCCCAAAATGGCAGACCAAAACATTGAACTTTCTGATAAAAGAGACACTGATGCATATGATAGTACTTTCAGATCTCCAGATGTAAATTTATCTGATCTATCGACAAAGGATCCACCTAGCACCATCAATGACAACAAAAATGATTTCAATAGTCCTCCAAAAGGGCCTAAATCAGACGCACATGTGAATTTTGCTGATACCACCATTTCTGCAGTTTTAGGAGGTGCAGAAACAGGAATGAAGCAACAGCGAGATGATTTTCCAGATCAAGGCACTTCTCTGGCTAAAAGAGAACATGCTGATAGCATTTCAGACATCCTGGGAGATGAAGTAACTGAAGAGAAGTTGAAAAAGGGTAGTTATCCAGATCAAGATACTGCCACCGCTAAAAGAGAACATACCGATAGCATTTCAGGCATCGGGGGAGATGAAGTGCCTCGAGAGAAGTTTAAAAAGGGTGGCGGTCATCCGGATCAAGGTAGTGGCGGTCATCTGGATCAAGGTATTTTGCACTCTCATAAAATAAAACCAGACATCTGATTACATTAACCAGTACTAATCCCTGAACTTTTGCAGAAAATCTTCAGGATCCAAGAACACGAAAAGAGGGCGAAGAAACTGATACAGAATATGATCAGCCGAATTGGAGAGAGTTGTTTTTAAATGGTTTAGATGAGAGGGAGAAGGTCCTATTAGAGGAGTACATAACAGCCCTCAGAAATTACAAAGAAGCGAAGATGAAACACAATGAAGCAGAAAAGAAAAGGAGGGCTAGTCACTTCCAGTATGTGATTCAGATAAAAGTCCTGAAGAGTTCTATTGCCTCAAAGGATGCAGAGATTCAATCTTTAAAGAAGAAGCTCAATTCAGCTCAAGAAAACCATGTTGAAACTCGGAAATCCAATGAAAATATTACTAAATCCAGTTCACTGCCCACGGCTGAGAAGAAGTCGCTGGATGAATATATGAAAAGTCTATTGCAATTAATCGATGTGCCAACCAGTAAAGATGCTCCTGTAAGAGAAGAAGCAAAACATTCAGAAGAGACATCTATATCCAACACAAAAGGTGATGATGATGAAGTAGATGTCAAGATTGCCAATCTCGACGAACCTCAGACCTTTTCAACAATTGATAAAGTAGATGTCAAGATTGCCAATCTCGACGAACCTCGGACCTTTTCAACAATTGATGAAGTAGATGTCAAGATTGCCAATCTCGACAAACCTCAGACCTTTTCAACAATTGATGAAGTAGATGTCAAGATTACCAATCTCGACGAACCTCAGACCTTTTCAACAATTGATGCAGTAGATGTCAAGATTGCCAATCTCGACGAACCTCAGACCTTTTCAACAATTGAAGAGAAGATACGCATGGATATTGATGACCTGCTGGAAGAAAACATAGAATTTTGGCTCAGGTTTAGCACTTCTTTGCATCAAGTGAAAAAGTTTCAGACATCTGTGGAGGATTTGCAAGCTGAACTGCAAAAAGTGAGGGAGAAAAACAAGCAAGAGGGCAGCAGTAAACCTCCATCGCTACTCTCAGACATACGCCCTATATACAAGCACATGAAAGAAATAAAGACCGAGTTATTTCTATGGCTGGAACATTCCTCGGTGTTGAAAGAAGACTTAAAGCACAGGCTGTCATCACTTACCAACATCCAGGACGAGGTAACAAAGTTGTCATTGGCAGGGACAAATAAGGAAGAAATCCAGCTGACCACCTATCAAGCTACCAAATTCCAAGGTGAGATTCTAAACATGAAACATGAGAACAACAAGGTTGCAAATGAGTTGAAATCAGGAAGTGAATGTGTAGAGAAACTTCAAGCTGATGTAAAGACGACACTATCCAAACTGGAAAAAGAACTCGGGATCAAGAGCGAAAGAGGCTCCAATTCTAAGATCCCCGTGACATCTTTCTTGTTTGGAATGAAGTTGAAGAAGCAAATGCCTACAAACATATTGTCTCGTGTAAGTCCTGCAATAATGCAGAAACCAACAAAATAGTTCTTTATCATTCTTATTACTATTTTCCCTTGTAGTTCTACCAGTACAGACTACTAGTCCATTGACTCCATTCTATGCAGTGTAAAAGTTATCCGAACACAAAAGGGTTCTCTCTTGCTTAAGTATGAATTCTCAGACTTAGCTTTTGATTTTACTTTCAGCATCTGAAATTCATAAACATCTAAAGTTCATGCTTACTATTTGCCATATTTTTGTTTTTAATAAGATGATGTGATAAGTGTATAACTTTTTTATGACTATTTAGAAAGGGCATGTGACAACAAAAAAGTAAAATACATCTAAAACTATTTTATTTTGATAAATAAGATTTCAAAGTACCTGAAAAAAAAATTCCTCATATTAGTAGTACTTTCAAAGTAGGCTGATGGGGTGAGACTCACTATAACTCACTATAGCTCATTAACATATTTAACCATCCATACAGAAACAATTAAAAAAAATATTAGTTTACACAGGCCATACAGATATATAAACACTGTATACCTTTCTTTGCGTGCTACATCTACAAACCTATATAGAGAAAAGAAATGGCAAACAGGGAAGGAAGGTGGGGGGTGTTTGGGTATACTGCAGTGGTTGAGAATCAAACAATACGTACAATGGAGGACCAAGAGAACGCCATTACTCTCCAGTATTCTCTCTTCAAGTTACTTCCTCATCAGCCCCATCCACAGCCATACTCGACGGGTCTATTTGATTTCTATTTGCGGGTTGCTTTTCATTCATCTCCTTGCTAGTGTTCCCAACTGGTGAAACTATTGCACTGTTGTCATTTGAGCTTGCACACTCAACCTCAGCCTGGTTGCGGTCATTAGCAGAACATTTGACTGTAGTTACATCAGTCGTTGATGAAGAGTTGATTTGCTTTTCTTGAACACAAATGTTTGCAGCACTAGCTGTAGAAACAGAGGCTTGATCCCTTTGTCCATTCTCCTTTGGTGCATCACCTGAAAAACAAGTTTCTTCAATCTTCTCTTTGGCTGGAATAGCAGTTTGGTCCACTTGGGCCAACTCCAATGGCACTTCTTTGGTGGAAGCAGCTTTATTGCCTTCAGGGGAATTGCATGGGCCAGGTGCTCGACTCTCTTTGGCTGGCTTTTCCATTACAGTTTCCGAGCCAGAGATAACAGAATCCTTTGCAGTTTTTGTGTCAAGCTCAGATGCTGGAGTAGAGTTGGTACCATTTGGCACCTTAGACACTGAAGTAGAGTTAGTACCATTTGGCACCTCAGCCAAGGCTTTTGGTCCTGAGATAACAGCATCTTCAACGGTTTTTACATCAAGCTCAGCAGCTAGACTAGAGTTTGTACCATTTGGCACCTCATTTGAAGCTTTGGGTCCTGAGATAGTAGTACTAGACAGGTTAGACTGAACTATTTGTGATGCAGGTTTTGCGGAGTGGCCTTGAACTGGCTGAGGTCCAGTTCGCGTGGCATTCGGCAGTGTTTTTGAATGAGACAATAAACCAGTACGAATGAAGTGCACATTACTGGGTAATGCATTTGCACCAACAGCAGGTGGTTTAACCATAGGGCCTCCTCCTCCAGGCATTATACGGACAGCATTCATAGACTGTGCAGCCTTAAGCAGTGATGCAGCATCTGAAGGGGTAGCAATGCGAGCCCCAGCAGCAACTGCAGCTGCTTTGACCATTGAATCTGGGCTGAGGGTTGTCTTTGTCGGTGGCTTTTTTGGAGGCACTCGTGCTTTTGAAGGTCCCAGTGTTCCTGGCTTCTGTGACGCCATTCCAGAGTCTTGTTGCTGACCCAGATGATTCTGGGATTGGGTACCAACAAATGAAGTCTCCGCAGCAGGAGGATTAGCAGGGTTACCAGGTGAGATATTTGTGTTTGCCCCTGCTGTTTGAATATAAACATAGATTTGTCAAAGCTTTTCAAAATATATGAAAGTACGAGGGAAATGAGTAAAGGTCAATGCAAAACCTTCTAGTTCAATTTCAAAATACTGGCATAAAGAAGACAACTTTAAAAGAACAGGTAGAAGGAATGAGTTGGAAATGGATGAAAATTCACACTACGCTACCTACCACATTCAACTAAACAAGTATATTAAGAAAATACAATACACTGCTTAAGTTTAGAGCTACTTATTTGCCTCACACATGGAAGACATTTAACTACCAACTACCTGTTGTTTGAGCAGAAAAAATTTGGTTCCCCTGAGCAACATATATCCAGCTCCCTCCTATATGGGGTCTCGTAATAGCTCAACTTTGGATTAGTCAGAGTGCAATGTGGCTACCAAATACCTAGGGGTCTCTAGCTAGAAGAACAAGGAAAATGAAGACATTTAACTGTTGAATTTTTCTTTTAGTGGGAAGGAAATGTAACTCAATGCAGTGCTCTGCATTTACATGGTTAATCCTTACAAACTTAATTTGTTACAACTTACAACTAGAAATGTACAAGGATATACCCGCTGTTTAAGGCTCAAGCATCATGCGAGGTATGGGACAAGGATGTACACACTTTACCTCTGTTATTGGACAGTTAGTTTTGGGGTCTTGAACCCATGACCCAATTGTAAATAGGGACCAACAAGTGGCCACTACTATAAGCCCAACCTTTGAATGTCATATCGATGTGCAACATCTGCACAATTGATAACAAGTGACCACTACACTGAGCCCAACGCCCCAACCCTCATATGTCATATACATATACTGCACAATATTCATGCATTATGAAAAGTTTTGAGGCAAGGAAAATTTTGCAACATAACCACAAAAGGTTTTTGAGCTAGAAATCATAACCTTAAGGGAGTGTTTGGTTCAACGAATGTTTTGAGATACATAAAATTCCCAAGAATCTCACATAACCTAAGAATTTGAAGGGAATGTGATTCCCATGTCCAGAGAATTACCAGTATTGATTGAGCAAACTGCTTTCAAATTATCACCCATAGGCATATCAAGAGCCAGGGACATTGCACGACGAGCTGCTAATTGAGCCTCTGTGGGTTGTGAGCTGTTCCCAACCAAGGTGCCTTGTCGCTTCCTAATAATTGCCCACCTCTGCACAAATTGCAATAAAGTAAATAACAAACTGAAAAATTTGTAGCAAAGTAAATAATGTGGTTAATATATGAGTATATGACTAAGCATCTTGTCAAGGAAAATGATGGTCACGGTTCACTATCTTGTTTACAAAAATTTAGGTCAGGTTGGTTATACAGAGCTTACTATAATATCATTCCGTTGCCGGGATTTGAACCCGGAAAACCTGGGTAAAACCTAGACATCCGAACCATACAAGATAACAACGGACATTCAGTAATTAGCAATAAACAATCCCTATTTAACCCAGACATCCTGAAGTTATCTTTATTTCTAGTCTGTCTCAAATAAAGATATTTTGTAACCTTAATCTACAACATGCTTTTTTTTTAATAAAAAAAATATTAGTAAAATTCATTTTCTTGTCCTTTTTCTTATTCTTTAATTTGTAAAACATGGCTATCATCCACCAATTTGTAATGACAATCTTTTCTCATAGTGCAAAAAAAAAAAAATGGTAATTATATAGGTCTGTGATAAAGCAGGGCATTTAAAATAGAAACAATGAAAGATCATGCATAAATGGTAAGAAAGAACCATATATATTCTAGAGAAAAGATTAGCACAAAAGAATATGTGCTTATCTATAATCTTAAAGCCATCAAGCAAGAACAAGTACTGAAATATAAAAAGGGACCTGAGAAAGCTGTGAAGCTGTTCTGTCACCCTTAAAATCCCCTTTCAAGATATTTGCCCAATTTCCTTCACCACATTTTTGAACCGCAGCAATAAGTTCCAAGTCCTCTGCTTCAGACCATGGTTTTCTTTTTCGACGAGGAGGCAAGGTTGCATTTGATGCTCCATTGGTATCTAACCCCTCAGCTGATGCGACATTGGGAAGCGGTTGCTTTTGCACAAAAACTGGAACTGTAATATTTGTCCCTTGCGAAATACTTTGGTAACAATTATCTGAAGGGTTCCTACACGTTTGCCCAGTGGGAATATTTATAGTCAATGGAGCCTCAACAATTGTGCCATTTGACAAATAGGAATCGTTTGGCACCCCAGAAGCAATAAAGACCTATACAAGCAAAGGCAAACACCCATCACATATATGCAAATATTTTAGTTCTCACTGACAGATCAACTTACAAGGAAGAAGGATATCATCCAGCCTTATAGTTAGCCAGACAATTAGCACTATAAAAAACTAAATGAAAAAGTGAAAAGAATTACAGAGAAAAAACAAGACAAAAAGAGAGAACAAACAGAAATAATGTAATGAATGGCATCACACGATTGTCATGTTTGAAGCTCTATACTATTTGAATGTCTAAAACATCTGTGCATTCAAAAACAAATATTGAAAGACATGTTGTTCTCCACATATAAGGGCAAGGCCAGTAAACATGTAGTAATGATTTGTGAACCCCGCACAGTGAAAGCCACATGCAGAACCTACCGTATTACCCCCAGGATGCAGATGCATTACTGACCATAAAATTTTGGACCTTTCAGGAAAAATAAATAAATAAATAACTAATTGGTGCAGGTATTTTTGTCAATAACAAGTTGAAGTCCATCAGTGCATGATACTCAAACTACTAAATCCATCACGTAAATAGAGTGTCTGCCACAGAGAAACATTAAAAAAGGAACAATATAGGCTTGCACAGTTGTTGTGGCATAAAAGGTATTAAATTCTAGAAAAAGAGATTAGTATCATGCAATCATAGTTTGGATTACCTTCACACATGCAGCAGCCTCTGCTGAAGCTTCACTGCTAACTGCTGGAGAAGCTTCCAATTCATATTCTAAATCACTATCATCATCCTGGCATCCAAAATGATAAAAGCAATGACCATTGGTACATGGAGCAGAAAATAACTGGGCTGTTAGATCTACCAAAGGAGGCACATTGCTCACACTTATGTCAAAGAATTACACAGTTGGTGAGGATATACAACAGCCAAGAGGATGTACTGAACCAAACAACGTACAGATATTAATGGGAAACAGAGATACATGTAAGAATCTTTCAACCATCTTTAACATATGACTGTTAACAGGATGCTCAACTTGCTGAACAAGACAAAGTTAAGATGATAATGGGATGCAGTAGAAATAAAGAAACAAGAGCAAGGATTTTGTCAACCGACTCTAGATATGCTTTCTTTTACAAGGTCATATCAGGTATCTTAAACCTATACACAAATGCAAACCTTAACCAAACAACCCCAAAACCTAAAAATAACAAAAAGCCCACACACAGGAGAACCAAATTTTAAGCAGCACAGCTGTACAGTAGAGCTGTTGCATAAAATTCCACAACAACTTTTATACATGTTGACAGAAGTAGCATCACTAACCTGTATGCATTATTACATTGTCCAGTTCATGAGATCCCTTCCCATTCATAACATTCTCAAGCTCATCTAATCTAAAGGCTCATATAAGAAAGCATCAACAAAAAGATTCAAAAGTCTCTAACTTAAACTGAAGTGTGAATGCCCACACACTGGAAATCCATGTATACCCCCATTCTTCTTAAATTATGCTATCAAAGTGTATAACAGTCGATAGAAGCTTCACAAACCATTAATCAAATGACCCCTACCCACACATAGAAAGAGAGAATCGTTCAAAAGTTGACTGACCAGAGGTAATGCACTGTCATCCAGCCTATCAGCCAATCCATGGCGATAAGCCAAATGACGCCACAGCATTTGGTACTCCCTAGCATTTGTAATCCCAGTGCTGCTCTTCTTCACCAACTCATTCCAATCGATTTTCACCTCCGTAACCTGCGCCACCTCTCGCAACAATGCCAGCACTGTCGTCGCGTTGTACCTTCAATAAACCCCCCAAATATAAATAAATACAAATACGAATTTAAGCTACCAAAAAAAAAAAAAAAAAAAAGCAGTACCTCTGTAGAAGAGTAGAGATATCTTCTTCACTGACGGAGCACTTTTTCCGCTTACCCGATTTCTCAACCATTTTTAACTCTCCGTATGACGTATGTGAGTATTTCTTTCTAAGATTGGACTTTGTTTTCCCGCGAAACGGTTATGGAGCGGGGGAGGAGGGTTTTAGCGAAGATAGTAAAAACCCTAAGACGGAAAGGAGGATGATGACGTTTGCCGGTGACGGAGTAAAAAAGCGACCGGCTGTGGAAGAAAGATAAACGGATGTGTACCTCAAGTACCGGTGTGAGGGTGGGTGTGGAGACAGGCGCCGGGGACCGGGGTTTTGGGGGAAGAACGAGGAGGCCACTCGGTCAAAATGACACTACCTGTCTACCACGGTGTCGTTTTTGGGAGTCGACAATGTAACGTCAGAAAGTAGGTAATGACAGTAGAGCCCTTGTGTAATGTATAGATTTTGCTTTATTTTAAAAAAAAATCTTTATCTGAAACTCAAATCTAAAAAATATGCAAGCAAATCATTTGAGCTTGATATAATGATATTATGGGTGTAGCCGTGTAGGATGGCATCGTCTCATATGGTTAGTCTCTAAAAGGTAATTTTGTTCACAATATAAGTTTGATAAATTATTAAATGTTATGCTTTTAATGATTACTGTGACTGTGATTTGAAATAAATTAAAATAAATGTTCTATCTAATTTTTTTAAATTTAAAAGTTATCACAACCATACCATATATCGCTTTCCTTTTTTGTTAAAGTGAAAAGAAAGATGTGACTTTCTGTTTTTTATTATATTCCTTCTGTGACACTTGAAATTCCATTGCCAATGGAGTTAAAGAATTGTAGCAGAATATAAACCACATGGCACTATGGCAGAGTTAGTTCGCGCAAGGCAGATTTATTCCACCACACGTTTTACAAGCTACAGTAATTTTATATATTTGTTAAATTAATAACTATATTTATAAAAAATATAATGAATGTTAGATGAAATCCGAATCCAAATACCGGGAGAATTGACGTCAATAGAACCGAACATCTATAAAATGTGGGTAATGATATACTCCGTATAATATAATTTGAATTACAGGGAGAAGAAACATTTATTCAACCATGTATAACAAATATCCTATAATAAAAATTATGAACCTTTGATGAATAATATGTTAAAAGATAATCATAGTCTTTATATGACAAAATTTAGATGTTGGGAAGACTCGGACCCCTGTGTTTCAATATTGGCAATCGGGACACAGTAATTTACAGGCAAGAATAGTGAGCGTGGTAGTGATCACCAAACATCCCTGAGATACCTCCCATCCGTCTGGAGTTTCTTCACCGTGGCCTCAGCCTTTGACGCATCTACCTTTTCCTGAATTCGAGTAGAACAAGCAGGTGAAGTGGACGCATACGTAGAGATACAGACTACAATAATAACATCATTTGGGGACAACCCGCCCAAGGTCAACATGTTAACTTGGTAACCACAAGGTTACAGACTCTCAGCAAGAGTGACCTATTGACATTCTTAGTTTAAGCTGGTCAGCTAAGGACAACCCAGTGTACACCCTCAGATACTGAGTGTAAGTTTCCCTTTTGTCGCTCAAAAAAAACATCATGTCTACAACTAAACGTATATAGCTAACATTAGTAAGCATAATACCTGCTCTTGGACAATCGTATGGAGAGTATGATGTACATCTCTAGCCATCCCTTTGGCATCCCCACATACATATAGATACCCCTTTTGGGATATTAAATTCCATACATGGGCAGCCTGCAAATGAATTAAAATGAAGTAAAAACAGTAAAACACTGATCTCTATAACAGAAGCAGGTAAATACTAATTAATATCAACAGGCTTACTCTTTCCATCATCTTGTATTGAACATAATCTTTTTGAGGCCCCTCCCGTGAAAATGCAATAATTAGCTCCGAAATGATGCCTTGATCTACAAAATTCTTGAGCTCCTCCTCATAAATGAAATCCTACAGTGTAATGCTAAGTCAAAATACATTGCAGCAGAATCACATGCATTAGTATGTGCATAAATTGAAACTTTACCATTCTTCGGTTCCTACAACCAAAAAACAACAGTGCAGGGCCAAGTTGAACCCCACTTTCTTTAAGAGCTGCTCTTTCCTGGAAAGCAGAGCAGGTAAAAAGGTATATCAACCCTAGTAAATATTTGTGCAGTAAAAAAACACAAGCAAGAACAAAGTGGAAATGTAATCCCCATACCTGTAAAAATCCTCTAAATGGTGCCAATCCAGTACCAGGTCCCACCATAATAATTGGAATTGATGCATCAGCTGGCAATTTGAAGTTTGATGGCCGAATGAAAATTGGAGCTGAGCTGCAGTCATGACTTTTCTCCAACGGAATTGCATTCTAATTTAGTGAAAGAGCCCAAGTATTTTAGAGATTAACAAAACCAAAACACAAAATTAGAACTTAAGTACAGTGCAACAAGAAAGAACGAAGGTACTCCCCCCCCCCCCCCCCCCCCCCAAATCCCATTCACTATCAAACTTCAACAGAACATTTAATGACAAATTTCTAAAGATACCCTTCAGTAGTAAAAGCACGGAAGCATCAAATGCAAAATGGCATCATCAGAATAATTTAGCAAAAGTGGTAGGTATAAATGGCATTGGGTGGACTTTGATTAAACTGTGTCTGTAATTAAAGGAGCCCAGAAAATTGTATGAAGAAACCAGCAGATTAAGTTCTTCCTTTCTACAATCCAACTTAAGATTTTTTTGTACCTTCATCCATGTTGAACACACTCCTCTATGAATCCTGCCTGTAGGGGTAGGACCACAAACTAAAGCACAGGTTACATGGACTCTCTCAGGAGCATATCTACACAGATTTGAAAAACATGGGTTAACAATGTCCATTAGCCAAGATGGAAAAAGGGAGACTCATATTTACCCTCTTATAAAAGATATTTTTACAGGCATATTCATAATAAAATACTCACTTGGGCGAGGATGAGATAGAATAGAAACGCGGTTGTAAGCGAGGAGCAACTGCTGCAAAGAATACACCAAGAGGAGGCCTAGCAGAAGGAAACTCTGACATTACCTCAAGTAAACTTCTTTGACTTGCAACAACCCACTGTGAGTACTCATCCTATACAAGAGAAATAGGCATTTGAACAGACAATAAAGTAAAAGTGTACCAAATCACAAGTTGGTTATCAGAAAAAGTCTTTCTTCTAAATTCACAGTTGGGGAGGAAGGTGACCTAAAAGTCTAAAACTAAAGAAAGCAGTAAGAAATAAAGAATAATGGAACCACTTTACCTTTCCCTGTGGAGAAGACAAGAACTTGAGCCTTTCTGCCTCACCAGCATCAATTGCATGAGCAGCTAACACAACCAGAGTCGCCTGAAAATGACATCATTTAAATCCAAAAACCAGTCTAGAAATTACAAAAGATCACACCTGGCTTACAAAGCTCCCACATCATGCAATGTTTGTGGATTACCTTTCGAGGAGGATTTAACAGATCTGCATAGCGTGCTAGAGCAGTACGAAGAGTGCAAGGACCAGGAAAAGGTGGTTGCAATGAACCTCCCAAGGGTGTACCATCATCTTTGTCAGTATGCATAGAAAATAGTAAATCCAAAGGTTGACCCAAAAACTTCGCTGCTTCCTCAACAGTTTCATCACAGTTTTCAGCATAGACACCAACATGGTCTCCAGTTTCATATCTGAAAGCAGCAAAATGTGTTTGCCCATATGTATACATTGCAAATATGATAGAAAATAGTCGGAAAAAGAATACAACATCATGCTAAGATTTTAAAAATGAAATAAGAGAAAACACAGCCAGACTTAACCAAAATTAATTTGTCCCATTAATTTTCAATACAAAGTCATGAACTTACGTTATGCCAGTGCCAGATATGTTGAATTCCAAGTGTGTGCATGAACGATCAGACTCGGGTGTATGAAGCTCTCTTTGAACAGCAATATTAACTCTGCAGTAAAAGTTAGAATAAAGCATTCTACAAAGAAAAACAGAATAAAGCAGACATGCATGTTTAAAGGACCTACCTGCATGGATGGTGGATATCATATACAGCATTTCCATTGGCCATACTTGCATGCACATCATCATAAGTTTTAGTCCCATGGTCATGAACCACCACACGATATTCAGGAATTACAGCAGTGTATTGTGTAGATGCAGAGTTTGCATCACCCTCATCCTTAAGTATTATATCCAATTCAGGCCACAGTTGTTCCCGCCTTAAAAGAAAGCATTATTATAATTAACATTGTAAGGAAAAAAAATGTTTCTGCTGTTTTCATTAGTTCATTTAAAATAGAAATGAACTATTTTGTACTCCATAAACAAAACTAAAATAACATCTACTCATATGTGAAACTTAAAAGTTAAAAGAACACACAAAACCCAAACCCAAAAAACAAGAGTGAGTGAGAGAGTTACCAAGCAGTAAAATCATCTTCAATGCATTGATCATCATCACCAAGACCAAGTGGAACTAAACATTTTGCACCTAAAAAGTTATCATATAAGCGCACATCCTTCAGTTCTATTTTATTTTTATGGACATATCTCAAATAACATGATAAAACCTATAACATCCAAGAGACCAGTGGACACAGAAGTATCAGGAACCCCTCTAAAAAACCATAATTGCTATAATAATAAAAATAAATAAACATTAAAAAAAAATAAAGGAAAAGAGCAATGAAATCAACCACTAAATCACGAGGATCACCATCTACAACCAGTCAACCACAGACCTGGCCACTCAACCAAAAAGAAAAGAAATAAGCAATGAAAAGAAAATTAGTATTTTCTTTATTCAAGAAATAATAATTTTATTGTTGCAACAGAGATTATTTCGTCACTATGGAAATTTTGAATCATTTGTGCCATTTTTTCATTTCAAACGTGAATTTCAAAACAAAAACCAACCCCTCTTTCTAGCCTGTAGAAAGACAACATTGCAAACACTTGCTAACCAAGGAGAGAGAGAAGAGGAGGCATTTTGCCCAGTCATGGAATTTTAATCAATTATCAGAGGAGACAATGCAGAAGATATAGCAAGTACTTACACTCATACAGAACAAGTGCAATACGGAAAAGGTCTACATACCTTGTTTACTAAGTTGTTCATCCAAAACTTTACCTATCTGTTTCAAACAGGTAAGTGTCAGAAATCAACTTGATGAACAGATCAGAGATGCACGATGACAATGTCACTCATACCTTGTTAAAATGTTCATACTGACGGTTCCCTAAACCAAATACACCATAGGTAAGCTGTTGAAGCCAGGGGCTCCTTTCTCCTCCCTTGTAGTTTAAAAATATTAGAAGGGGAAGCATATGTTAAAAAAATATTTAGCTTTAACAAGCGGAAATTCAATCAAGGTTGAACCTACCTCCGCAAACCATTTATAGAATCTCGCAGCATTATCGGTTGGCTCCCCATCACCATAACTATCATAACAGTCTCAATATGTAAGACTCAAGCATAAGTCAGAAACTTCTAGGCAAAAAAATTTAGATCATAAATTACTGTCTGAGTAAAGGTGTATCTTACGTTGCAACCATGAAAAATGCTAATGTTTCTTTTTTCAGTTTCTCCTCATACTGGTCATCATCGGCAGCATAATCATCCTTTAAAGACAAAATACAAACTATCACCATGTGAAAGTTAGATAACTGGAAGTGGGTTAAAGCAATGGTTAATATTGCACATACCAAGTCCACAAATTTCACAACTGCCTTCTCATACCTTGTCTTGATCTCCTCAGCTAAAGACTGCAAGAATGATCATGTAAGAAGACTATTGATTAAAAGAAATCAAGAGCCACAAGGTTAGACATGTATACACCCACTTAATTCCAAACAATAGGCCATCAGAGCAAACTAGTAAAATCAACTCAAAAAGCATAATACCATTGCTTCAGGAAATACAGCTTAGTTTAGATAGCAGAGTAGATAAATGAAAACATTGTGTGCTAGAGAATCCTAAATGGAGTAAAATGTGTTGCTGTCATATTGAGATATCCACATTTTGGTTAGATAGCTCTTTGCATCTTGAGAGAAATTGCAACCCAACCAACAGTGTCATACCCACGTGTTTTTTTAAGGACTTAGCCGAAGAGTTACTACCACTTCGTAAACTAACGAGTCCGAAATTCAATATAACATGAATTCTAAGGTTTAACTGAAAAATGAGAATGAAAAGCTCTTTTTAATATTTATATCTTCTCCCAAAAAAGGTTGATCCCCAACCCTAACTTTTAGCTCGTTTGGTTCGCTGGAAAATATTTGAAGGGAAATGGAATTGAAATTCCATGGAAAATAAATTCCAAGAAAACACCAAGACTATGTGGTCTAATGGTACCCGGGTTGGATTTTCATTTGGAAGGTTACGTGTTCGAGCCTCAGTGGAGGCATTATCGGTTCTTTGTGTTTCAGTAGGTTGAGAAAGTATAGAGTATATGAACAGATACTACAATGTAATAGGGCCAGTAACATCCAAAAAACAATGGAAATATGAATTCCATTGTTTGGAAGTGTAAGGAATAATGAGTATAATGACAAATATAACCCTACACAATAATAATAATAAGAGTAATTAATAAAGAACGGTGAGGGTAAAATTGTCATATTAGTTTTTCATGGAAAACAAAATACCTAGCATAAGCTAGGAATTTGTTTTCCTTGTTCTCTAAGGAAAACTTTTTCCAATGGAAAAAATGAACAAATTGCACTTTTGGTCCTGTGAGTATTAGGGTACTAACAATTTAAGTACGTGACTTTCAAAACTCCCAATTTAAACCTTTAACTATGCAATTTTTGGCACATTTGGTCCTCCGGGCCAAATTGCCGGCCAATTTTGGCCGGAAAAAGATTTAATGTTTCGAATTTATTTATGATGAGGGTAAAAACGTCATTTCACTCTCTTCTTCTTCGTTCTTCTTCTTCATCCTTGCACTGGGAGCACATGTGCAAGCATTGCTACAGAAGGTGAGCTTCCCTCTTTGAATTCCATTGGCGCGGATGTGCTCCCAGTGCAAGGATGAAGAAGAAGAACGAAGAAGAAGGGGTGAATGAAGAAGAAGAGAGTGAAATGATGTTTTTACCCTCATCAGAAATAAATTCGAAACATTAAATCTTTTTCCGGCCAAAATTGGCCGGCAATTTGGCCCGGAGGACCAAATGTGCCAAAAATTGCATAGTTAAAGGTTTAAATTGGGAGTTTTGAAAGTCACGTACTTAAATTGTTAATACCCTAATACTCACAAGACCAAAAGTACAATTTGTTCGGAAAAAATTTTCCATCCAACCAAACAACATAAAACATCATTTTCCTTCGCTTTTAAGAAAACATTTTCCATATGTTTTCCATCCAACCAAACACCCCCTTAATATTTGTACGGAGTATCAGTTATGCCTTGGGTAGAAAAATATAAATATAAATTGTGGTCCACCACGTTATACCATTCGTAGTCAACAATCATAAGCGCGCATGAAGAATATAGCGAGTACGGTTCGTTAGCATTCATAAAGAACGAGGAAAAAAATAGCAGCAAATATTATTCTTCTTCTCTGAAAAAATAAACATCATTACCTTAGCAAACCCCTCGGCGGTACCGGTCTGAGTACCGAAGAAGACGGTGACCTTAACCTTGCCCGTGTCCACAATGGCGTCTTCCTCCTTCTCAACCGCTCTGGCCTTCGGAACAACCACGGGCCTCACCTCCTTACCCGTTCTCATCCATACCAAAACCAGCAAGCCAACGACGACGGCGATCGACGTCGTCAATGCAACCACCGCCACATCATTCCCTATCGACACTCCGAACGCCGCCCCGATCGATCTCAGCAATTCCGAACTCGACTCCATAATCCTCTCAGCAGGAGAAGTCGTTGGTTCCCGGTAGCTGAGCTCCAACGCCTTTGCTTCCTCCTCGGTTTTAATTTATCTCTATGAAACAAAGGAGGAGGATGAGCACGGCGGAGAGTGCCGGCGGAGCAGAGACAGACAGAATACGCGTACGACGGTGCCGGTCGTGGTAAGAGAGATTTCGTTCGCTTACCTTTTTCTTTCTCCAGAAGTTTCCGGGCCAGGGAAAGAGGGTCTTATTCCGGAGGACGGGGAAAGGGTACCCTTATATAGTGTGTGAGAATTTATGTGGTGACGTGTACAAACCGCAAAAAGTGTGGTGCCTCTCGGTTGACAAATGACGAATGGGACCTTCCCCCTCGTGTTTGGAAATTTGGGAACCGGACGATCATACGTTTTTTTGTGGAGTTCAAATTGTTTGGAATACGAGTTGAATTATAATTGAATTGTATGCGACAATATAATTTGATCATTAAATTAAAAATTTTATAATTAATCTTTTTTGAGAACTATAATTAATTTTTTAAACAAACTAGATTCATAGATGACTCAAACTCACAACCTCCTCATCCCCTTATATGAGAGTTAGTATCAATATATCACAAGGTTATTGACTTTTCCTTTTTTTAGTGCTACTGACTCTATTATAAGGTTAATGTTGCTTCTAGTGAGACTGGAATACACAACTTCCCACATAAGGGAGTAACTTGGTGCCACTTCACTTATTATTTATTTTAATTGTTGGATAAATTGAAAATACCTCAAAGGCATTTGCAAAATGCATATGAATGTGCGCATTAATTGACAAATGTATTTGATTTTTTTTTTATACATATTTTCACCGTCGGACACAGTGATTAATCTCCTTGTTAGATTGTAGGCACATCTTTTTGGTGGGACAGTTGACTTAAAGATTCTAAGATGTATTTGGCATTTACAAATTAAGATTCAATAATAGTATTCCATCTCAAAAATTTTAAAAAAATAAAAATCTAATGGACATGATGCAATTTGGAAATAAAATATAATGACATTTTAGTAAATTTCTCAAACTTTAAAATATAAATTTTGACAATATAGTCATTTATGACTAAATGCTAAAATCTAAATCAAAAAATTATATTGTAAACCTAAATTTTAAATACTAAACCTGTATAGCTGGTCGTTTGATACTTTCTTATCAATTAAATTTTTTGAAAAATGTTTTCAAATAATGTATTTGATGTGAATAACTTTACAAAGAACATTAATTAACATGTTTGGTGTTACTCGGTAAAAAAATCACACCAGTCTAGGTGGGATTTACTTTTCATGATATTATGAAATTTGATTCCCAGTTGTTCCGAACTTTCCTGCTAGGAATAAACCAAACGTAAAAATAATTTTTCCAACTTTTAAATTTTCAAAAAAGTTTAAACTTTCCCTTTTACAAAACGCCTTCACAAAAAAAAAAACGCATAAACCAAACTAAAAACTGAAACATTAAACCAAACCTTAAACTCTAAAAAGTAAATCCTACTGACACTACACTTTAAAATTAACTAAATTGCACATTATAGTATTATTGTACAACTTATAGTGTTGGAAAGTGCATTACTCTCCCACAAATTTTTCCACTCATTGCTCTAAAAACCATTCGAGTTGAGCAAATTATGTGAAATGGTTTTAGAGCAATGATTTGACATTTGAGCAAACTCCTCAAGCTTACATGTATATAAGTACACACAAAGGACTATTGGGTTGAAATTTTACAACAGAAATAATGAAAATTAAACACAGTACTTCATTTGTTGAAGACTAGTTTAATTTGGTGAAGTGCCCAATTCTTTACTGATCTCATTTTTCAGCTTCCCAAGAAGGTGTTCAGGCAGGATCACATTCACAATTCTTCCACCTTCTTTACCCTTCAAATTCTCAGGCCCAGGCAGCACCAAAACAGCTCCTTCATCACCAACCCCACCAATGGTATAGTTTGCAAAAATGGGTTTTTGCCCCTTCATATCAAACCCATAAATCTTCACCTCTTCCAAGTTCACAAATGTCAGGTTTGCTCCATACACAAAGAAATCTGCAGACTTCCCATTTTCTTCTTCCATGGTCTCATCAATAATCCCCGTTTCATCCACTGCCTTCTCACCAATCAGATTAGCCAGCTCCAAAACATCAGCCTCAGATACCCTCATCTCCGCCTTAACAGCACTTATCACCTGCCCATTTCTGCAGGGAAGCAGCCCATTTCCTCTACTATGAAAGCCGTTCTTGACAATTGTCACAGTCTCCAACCCTGATCCCTCCTTCACTTTAGCCAAAGATTTCCAAAACAGCGCAGAGATTGCCTCAAATGGCTTAACTTTGGCCGACTGTTTTAGCCCTGAAACCTTGAAGATTAGCGCGTTTAGTTGCTTGTCTGTGATGTGGTAAGATTGTGTTGCCATTTTGCAGGTGTTGGTGAGTTTCCAATGGTCTCCGACAGGGCCAACGCTTCCTAGGGAGAATGGGAACAGCTTCTGAGTACGAGGTTTTGGGGAGTTGTGGTTGTCGGCAGTTGGCATATGAGGATGCTTAGGTGGGAGATCACGACGGCCTGCCATGGCTGGGCCGTACTTGTTGAGGAAGTCTGAAAGTGAGAATGCATCTCCAAGAACATGAGCCCAGCTTATCCCTATCGAGAGTCCTCCACATTTGAACCAAGTAATCTATAGTACGTAATAAACAAACAAAAATTAATTTTTTTTTAAAAAAAAAAAACAATTATAAGCAAATAGTACAACTGTACAAGGTGATTACTATTTCCAACAACTCATGGTACTTAATAATATCAATATGATTTTTTCATATTTGTCAAAACGGTTGAAAACCTAAAGTCCTAAACATACACAAGATTTTTAACCATTTTTTTACTGACCAAAAGCCTTGAGAATAAAAATAGTTAAATATATTGTTAACTTGTACATTATACTTTCTTTCTTGTACACTCATAGTTGTTTTCTAATTTTACCCTTCTTTTTCCTTTTGTGTAAAGTTGTTCAGGCCATCAAATAACATCATAAAATTAAATACAATAACCTATACAATGTAGTTACTATCTTATACACTTATAAAGTATTTTTCATTTTATAATTTTATTATTAAAACATGATTTATTAATTTATTCCTATTATCCTTTATACTTTTTTATACGGAGTAATTGTTATAAGATCCTATAATTTTAGACCCTTATTTGTTTCATTAGACATTTTTTACTACACATTGTGTAGTATTTTTAACTAGCGTATAAATATAAGAAAAAGGAGGAAGAATATACGTACATATGGAATGCCAAAATTATATTTTAAAAATTTCAGAATGGTGAACAATATAATGAACTTTATTCTTCATCTGCCTCATTCAAAATTAAATTAGCAATTAATATGACCGAATACGAGGTCTTACGTACGCTACCCAAAAAAGCAGTTGTCCAAAACGACCTATTATCGCTCCAAAAAGTAGTTGGAAGGTTGGACCATACAACTTGCAGGAAACATAAATATACTTAGTAAATTATTAGCAAAAATTTAACATTTAACATAAAATTATAAAAGTATAATGATCATATTTCAAGAATAAAATCAATAACATTATTTCAGCATTATATTTTTCTATTAACATGAAAATTCAGAACTCCAACTCAAAAGTGAGCTCTGAATATATATATATAGTAAAAACAGACCATACACTCATTCCATTTGATCCACCATTTTCAATATAACGACAAAATTTCATATCATTTTCTTTTATCCAAAAGTTAAATTGCACTTTAAAAAATAATACTAATAATTTACGAATTAGACAGATCAAAATGGGGTTACTAGCCAATATCAAATTCATACTTTTTATTAAGAGAATTATGTTCCAATCACTTAATCACCGCTTTCAGAACAAAAATATTTTTAAATTACATTATTAATATACTTTATTTTACATATGAAACAAGGCCCAAATTGTGTATTAACTGATAAACACCTCAAAAATATTTTGAGCAAATATTATTTTATTTTTATTTTTTTTTGTGAAAAATGTGTCCAAAAGAGTTTGAGAACAGCTTCCCCATTTCAATTTTGTTATGTGCTTTTTTTTTTCATGGATGGTTGGGCTGTTGGGAGTTGGGACTTGGGGTAGCTAAGAAAAGTAATTGCTGGAAAAAATATAGATGAGAAGCATTGAATGTCTAATCATGTTAGATCACGGAACGCGTTGATAATGTACATAGGTTTATGACGCATCACCGTCATTACGTACAATTATTTCATCAAAAGCATGTCAGCCAGACACCACTTCTACCGTTATACATGTGATCCAGCATTCATATGAAATAAACTAAGGAAGCAATAAATTTTGAGATAGAACATTAAATCTCTATTGTTGCTGTTGTCACTATATATTAGAGAGTATATTTTTGTGTTCTTATAATATGTAAAAGTACAAGAATGAGCGTACTTTATAATTTTGTATAATATATTTTTAATATTTATATATTTATGAGTTGCACTTTTACGTATCATAATGTATAAGATTAGAGTGTGTATTTTTATAATTTGTGATACACTCATAATTTGATTTCTCACATCAATGATCCATGGTTAATTTTTTTTCATATAATAGCTTCATTTAAGATTTACTTAAAAACGATTTGAAACCTAGATATAGAATTAGAGACGACTTTGAAAAGGAGAAGAAAATATAGAGACAGAGAACGTATACTCGTATAGTATGCATACCTGTATAAAAACAAGAGGTGAAAACCCCAGGTCAGGGCCGAGAACTTGATCGTGATGGAGAAGATGATCATATTCCGATTGATCACTCATATCCAACCATTCATCAATGGTTTTGCTGCACTTAGCCTCGACAATCCTAACGCCGCTGTCATTGCACTTCACGAACGGCCGCCCATCCTCCGGCGACGTCCGGATCCTGCCGGCGGCCGGATAGAAATCCTCCAGCATCCGGAACATGGGAGACTTCAGGTCACCGGTGTTCAGGCCGTCCACTGCTTCGCTTCTGAACAAGTAAACGCCTCTTAGGTAGTGCAGCTTCATCGCCAAATCAGCGTTTGTCAGATTCAGAACCCTGCCCTCCCCGGTAATGGTCGCCGGAACCACCGACGATAGGCGGTGATCGTACACGATATTCTCGACGTCCGGTGACTCCATGATCGTAACTGTCTCCGTTTTTTTAGGCTATAGATAGTTGGATACTCACAGAGAAGTTGCAGCTAGCGGATTAATGTGAAGCAGGTGGAATGTTCGAGACTCATTAAAATAATTTATTTTTGGTGTGCGTATAGTGCACTAATCTAGCTCTTTCCACGACAATTCAACCTCCGCCTCGTGGATATGCCAGTTGGAGTGCTCCCACTACAAAACACACGAATTGAAGTCCGTTCATTCCGCTCACCAAAAATATTAAATGTTACGTCTTCCGGAAGATTAATTGATTCACTCATTACTTCATTAGCCCATGTTTACCAATCAGGAAGTCATTTTTCACGTTTAGCAATTAATTCAACAAAAATAACAACTTTTGGCACAAAATGTTTTTTTTTTTGGTATTTCAACGTCGAATATAGTGACTAATCCCCTCAATAAATTATAAGCATATTTTTTTAATAGAACAGTTGCTCTGAAGATTTAAGATTACTCTATAAAATGTCTTCTACAATATAATTTTGTTTTACTTATAAAAATAACTTTTGATTCTTATCTCAATTTTATCTCTCCATTTGAGCACTGTCAACTTGACGAGTTGGTCCAACATTTGTTTGCTTATTATTTAAACAAGCTTATTATTTAAGCAAACATTTCAGACATTTCAGTTTTGTTTCTTTCATTTATTTAGTCTAGACCTATTACATTTATTAATTAAACTAGTATTTTCTGATGCGCGATGCGCAAAAATTATGTGCCTAATATTAGTATTTTATATTAAGATTTTTAATATTAAAATTATTATAAATAATAATAATAATAATAATAGTGTAAACATTTTTATACATTTGATATTTATATTGTAGGAAATAACTCCAAATTATAATGTATAAATATTATTATTATTATTGAATAAGATAAGAAAATATATGGTGGATGCATGTGCATGGTAACAATAGTGGAAAAGATAACGGAAGTTATAACGGTAGGGGTATGTTTGTCCAAAATATTATAAAGTACAACCTTTATAGCATAATGTATAAAAAAACTTAACGGAAAAAATGGACATAAATAAAGGGTATAACTTCATTTGGCATAATCAAACAATAAAAATCTTGACGTGACCCACAATTCACAAACAAAATAATAATAATAATTCCCCAAACCCCGCCCCCAACCCCTCACACCCCCCCCCCCCCCATAAAAAAAAAAAAAAACCATGTATACAACATTTCTCCAGTACCAAATTGTATGGATTACATGGCACCATTATTTCTCCATCTATCTCATTTTATATGTCCTACTTACTATTTATTGGTCAAATAAATTTTTTCTTCTTTGTTTATTTTTTAGTATTTTTTTTATTATTTTAATTTTTTTTTTTTTTTTGTGTTTAATAGTACTTTTAATGTAGTTTCTAAATATATAAATTTTGTATACTAATACTAAACTTAATATTATGAAAAAATAAATTAAATAACTTCAGTCAAACCTCGTTAACCGAACCAGACACATAAAATAGGACAGGGTGAGTATTAAGACAAATTATATCGTGCACCAGGGTGCACAATGCATTTTGCGCCCTGGCCCAAAACGACGTCGTTTTCCATTTATGTCGTTAACTTCTAAACAAAAAAAAAAAATCCATGTTTCATGTGTACAGAATTGTATAGTAGAATACACATAAACTCCTAGCATAATACACATAATCTAACATAATACATAATACATAATATATATATATATATATATATATATATTACACATAAACTCCTAACATAATATACATAAACACAAATGTAAAAAAAATAAAAATAAAAAAATAAAAAAATGTAACAAGATTGGATGAACGAAATAGTGTCCGTCGCATCAACTCTTCATAACTTATATAACTAAATTGAAACATGTGCTCCATCTCAACTAAAAATCTAAGCTGATAGTTGGATTGCACGTTAATGGCTATATGCTCACAAACTAAAAATCCGAGTATTAATTACACAACTGAAAACAAACAAATTGATGGAACAATTAATGAGTAGAACGTGGCTGAGCTAAGCCCAAGAAATAAATCGTACACACTAAAATAAATTGAATCATGAATTTCATGGAAAATTATGCTATGTAACCATCTTCACCTTTTAAAATGGACACAGTTTCAAAACTATTCTTAATTATGAATATATATTTCAAAAATTATGAATATATATATATAAACGATGTCCCACGCGTGGCTGTCACCAGTGGTGCATTAATTCACTTTTTATAGTGGGTCCCACCATTTGTGAATTCTCCCCTTCACTTGCAGAGTTGTAAGAGAATTATTTCTCAAATAACTCTTCTCCACATTAGCTATTATCTTGGGTGGGGAGAATTAATTGAAATAACTCCAAAAAATCCACAAATGTGGATGCTCTAAGTACAAATCACGAGCGTCATTTCTTGCTGATGTCCCTTCAAGTTGGGAAAAGAATAATTATTACCAACATTTTATTGATCATTATTGTGTGATTTTTAAACTACTACACAAGAGTGAGATAATCAACACTATCATTTAATTATTGTGAATTTTCCTCATCATTAAAAAAAAAAGTAAAATAGAATCATTAATGTTGATATATTATTTTAAAGGGATCAATGGGCATATACTTTGGAGCGTTATGCTGTGCAATCGTGTGCACCATGCATGGTGCACACGGTTGCAAAAACGACGTCATTTTAACGTCCGACTTATAAAAAAAAAAATCAAAATTGCATAACTACACATCCATAACTTCATAACTATAAATACATAATTGCATAACTACGCATCCATAACTTCATAACTATACATCCAGAATTGCATAACTACACATCCATAACTTCATAACTATCAATCCAGAATTGCATAACTTCACATCCTTAACTTCATAACTATACATTCAGAATTGCATAACTACACGTCTACACATCATAACTTCAAAACTATACATTCAGAATTGCATAACTATACATCCATAATTTCATAACTATACATTCAGAATTGCATGCATAACTACACATCCATAACTTCATAACTATACATTCAGAATTGCATAACTACACATCCACAATTTCATAACTATACATTCAGAATGTGAAATTATAACTTCATAACTACACATTCAAAATTGCATGCATAATTACACATCAATAACTTCATAACTATAAATCCATAATTGCATAACTACATATCTATAATTTCATAACTATAAATCCAGAATGTGAAATTATAAAATTATGAACATATATTTACGTAACTAACGGCAATCAATTTTTTTTATTTAAGTAAAACGATATTGTTATGGTGCACACAGATGCACAACATAATTTACCCATGTAGTTTAGAGTAGTCCCAAAATCTATAATTCCAATGAAAACCAAATTGGGCTTTCTGAATATTCAAAAAGCACTCCCAAGGCCCATATAATATTCCACTTTATAGCCATCGATATCTCAACAATCATTATTGTGTGGACCATCCAAATTGTATAGATCATATTTTATCACTGTAAAATAATGTACATTCAGTACAAAAATAATATATATTTAGTACAGAAATAATATACATTGTATTCAGGGGATGTACATTATTTTTATTCTGAGTGTACATTATATTATATGATGTACATTCAGTACAAAAATAATGTACATTTAATATATTAAAAATGTACTTTTTTGTTATGGTCCACGTAACATTAACATAATAATTTGCCATATCTGAAATGAAATAAACGTTTCACTGCGAGCAGCCCAATTAAAGCTATTTAACCATCATGATTCAAAATAAATAAATAAGTCGAAGACATTTGTATATAAAAAAAAAATGTACTTAAAATTTATTTTCAACAGCAAATTAATATTTGATTCCTCATAAACATTGAGGATTTGAATTTAAATTATATTTCTTGTATGCAGAGTATCAATCATTATTTTGTGGACCATGATCTACATATTTAAATATGAACCATAAATAAAAATTAATTTTTAATATACTAAAAGTACATTATTTGTATACATAAAATACATTATTTGAGTGTACATAATTTTTATATATTATCAAATAATATATATTTAGTACACAAATAATGTATTTTTAATATATTAAAAATATATATTGTATTCATAGTCCACACAGTTATATGGGGCAAATTATGTTGTGCATCTGTGTGCACACGGATGTAAAAACGGCGTCGTTTTACTTAAATAAATAAAAAAAATTCATTTTCGACTGTGGTAGTTACGTAAACATATGTTCATAATTTTATAATTTCACATTCTGAATTTATAGTTATGAAATTATTGATGTGTAGTTATGCAATTCTGGATTTATAGTTATGAAGTTATGGATGTGTAATTATGCATTCAATTCTGAATGTATAGTTATGAAGTTATAATTTCACATTCTGAATGTATAGTTATAAAGTTATGGATGTGTAGTTATGCAATTCTGGATTTATAGCTATGAAGTTATGGATGTGTATTTATGCAATTCTGAATGTATAGTTATGAAGTTATGGATGTGTAGTTATGCAATTCTGAATGTATAGTTATGAAGTTATAGATGTGTAGTTATGCAATTCTGGATGTATAGTTATGAAGTTATGGATGTGTAGTTATGCAATTCTGGATTTATAGTTATGAAGTTATGGATGTGTAGTTATGCAATTCTGGATGTATAGTTATGAAGTTATGGATATGTAGTTATGAAATTCTGTTTTTTTTTAGTCGGACGTTAAAATGATGTCGTTTTTGCAATCGTGTGCACCATGCATGGTGCACACGGTTGCACAGCATAACGCTCCGTTATATGGACCATGGTCAACACAATAATTTTCCGCAAAAGTATATACTTTCTTCATGGGGCTAATAATATGGATAAAAATAGGCTAGGTCCCTATCAAGGCCCAAGGGGCTTACAACATGGCCTACTTTGGGCATACCTTGGCCTAGCCTATTTAGTAAAGAGGTTAGGCTGAAGCCTATTTAACTGAATAAGACCTATGCTTATATATTTAAAAACTAACATATAGGTTTACAGGTCTGGCATATATATATATATATATATATATATATATATATATATATATATATATCAATTACAAAATCCTAACCCCCAAAATCTTTAATTTTAAATACTATTTTTGTAAATCTGTATCTTTGCTCTCACTTTCTCCCTTGTGACTGCGAGACGATTCTTAATTGTTGTTAAGGTAAATTTATAAGTCTCCTTTTATGGTCACTATTGTCACTGTTTATTTGTTTTGTTTTTTGAGGCACAACGAGTATTAGGTATATTTAAAAATAAAAATAAAAATTATGACTTACATAAGAAATAGACTTTTAAACAGACTTCCGCCCATGCCAGACCAATTGTAGACTCAAGCTTGGTGTTTCTGTTCAGACTTTCACCCATGATATTTCTTTTATTTGTATTTGTTTTTTTAGTCATGAGAGGATTGCACTTGAAAAACTACACCGCTTGTGCTATGAATTTTGACGGAGGAACTAGCTAGCAAAAAGTACTAAAAATATAATGTCAAATCCCACATGGCCACATTCACTTCCTAGTTCCTCCGTCAAAACTTTATAGTACAAGCCGTGGGGACTTTCAAATGCAATCCTCTGAGATGACTAAAAAAAATACAAATAAAAGAAAGAAGAAGAAGAAGAAGAAGTAATGTTTGGTACAGAAAGTTGGTTTTGGTGCAGAAGAGTGATAGTACGAGCACATATATAAATTGACATGTATACGTTACCGATGTTGAGGTCAGGATTAGGGTTAGTAGGAGTATTATTTACTATATTCTGTCTTGTCTTGCATTGCCTCATTATTCTTCTGCTTTCGAGTTTAAAGGTATCCAAAGCGTATTAAATCAATATTTGTCAAATGGCTTTGTGGTCTACTCTCAGGAAGCGGCTCTCTTCAATAGAAGGTCATAGGTTTAATTCTCTGTAGGGATGATATTGGCTTTTTGTGCTTGTACTTTGAAAAAATAGTTACAAAATAGTTATAAATATATACTACATTATAACTGAGTCAGTAGTACTAAAAATAATAATAATAATAAACATCATAAATTCAAGGATAACATGTTGAATAACCAAAAAAAAAAAAAAAAAAATGCACGATAAAAATGGTGAGTTTGAATTTTCTGGTTGAGAATTGGTAAATTAAAGTCAACTTAACTACCACCTTTACTTTTGTGAAAGGTGACAAGTGATTTGGTGCTAATGTGTCATTCTAAATAATATAAACAAAAAAATCGTAACAAGTTATATATGAATATTCTAATAATGAAGATCGTATTTGTCTAGTGAACAATACAAATGGCCAATGCAAACAATGCACGGGTTATTTTCCTCTCATTGGACGAAGACATAAATAACGTTATTTGTCTGGCTATTTTTTTTTTTTTTTTTGGAATAAGGTTCAAATTGGCCACTGAACGTAACCTGAAAATGCAATTAGGTCACTAAACGAAAAAAAGTGCAATTAGGCCACTGAACACTCTAAAAATGTGCAATTTCACCTGATAGCAGGTTACCCTCAATTTTAGCAGGTTATCTGCTTACATGGCAGCTGAGTGCTCAATGGCCTAATTACACTTTTTTTTTCGTTCAGTGACCTAATTGCATTTTCAGGTTACGTTCAGTGGTCCATTTGAACATTATTCTATTTTTTTTTTTTTTAAATAGAGATTGACAATTTCAATTCGCTATGCGATTATGTACCCATATCCACCATGCATTGATTTTTTTTTATTATTTTTTTCTTTTTTTTTTTCTTTTTTTGTGGGCAATAGCGTGTGGTGCGTCAGAGTATGCATTAAAAAAACTAAACCCGCATAAAACCATACATGACTCACCATGTTATTATATATATATATATATATATATATATATATATATATGCACTTTGGTGTGAATAGAGCGCTCATGTGTGGATATGCGAATGGCTGATATCCGTCTACATTTTCAGATCTAATGGATGAGAAACATTGATTTTTTACAAAAAAAAATACGGTGACATTTTTGTAAATAATTGAACATCGAAGTGCAAGTAAAATGTATTATAGGTACAAGTAAAATTTACACTGAGCATCAATACTAAGTGCACCTATAGTTATAAGTAGTTGCACCTAGGTGCATGAATGTTTGCGAGTGGTTTCACGGGTACTACTACCCGCTGAACTCCCCGCAATAACAAAAACGATGCCAAACAGAACGAACTCAGATCAGTGAATGTTAACAAGACAAATTACATGCACTTGCAAATGAAAGTATGTGCACTTGTAGGTGAAAGTAGGTGCAGCCGATCAATGAGTGCTGACAAAAATTACATGCACTTGCAGGCGAAAATATGTGCACTTGTAAGTGAAAGTAAGTGCACCTGATCAATGAATGCTGATACGTGGCGCGCGCTGATTAGTTCGCATTTCACAATTGGGCGGACATTCGCACCAAAATGCGATCCTATATATATATATATATATATATATATATATATATATATATATATATATATATATATATAAGTAGTATGTAGTTAATTCTACAAAATTAACTTTTTACTAATTTTAATTTTAAACTAATACGTTTGTTTTAAAAAATTTACAATTTAGTTAATATATTTAAATATTTTTATTATTTTATATTTTAATATAACTAATACTTCTTTTTTTTGGGAAGAGATAACTAGTACATTTTATTGTGTATAAAAACATTAAAATATTATTATTTTATACATATTTTTAACAAGATAGTAAATGGTGAATTTTGAACCATTGAAAATTGGGCGTTGATGAAAAATGTATAAAGGTATGTCACCCATAAGTTCATAACCCATTACCACCCCTAAAATGAAACATTACCAAATAAATTGGAATACCAACGCCAAATCATCACCTTTCTCAATAGTTCGTGTGGAAGTCAAATACATACCTAATATACAATAATCAATTGGTTACCTACCATTTGGACCGACACATAAATAATTTTATTTTTACTATTATGTTTTTATTTATATTTATAATGTAAAATGTTTCTTGATTTGTACGTACTATAAAAATAGTGTATACTATATTCCCATGGCGTGATATATGTTATAGAGTAGGAAAGTTGTATATACGATTGATCTTGGTAGTTACAATATGCATTTTTACTATTTTGTATGGTGATTTTTTGTGGATACCAAATAGTACGTGGTTTTTTCATCTAAGGAATCGGTAATGAATAAATTAAAATTAATTTTGAGTTGAACTGTTAACTAACTCAATTAAATAAGAGAATAAATAACGTAAAGACATGAAGAATTCTCGTAAATGATAAAAATAATACTTGCAAAGGTTGTTCGTAGGTTACAAAGGTTGTGTAGTAATGAGACAAAATAAGATGAGTCCTATATCAAATTGCTATAATATTACAAGAATAATGTTTTTGATAGGACATGAGATGTTTAAAAAAGACAAATGCACTACTATTATCCATTTATGTAAGTTGTGTTTGGGAAACCATTCACCCAGTATGGGTATCGCCCTGGGCAGAGCTGTTGGTTACAACCACCCTAGTTGATCGCACTTCGCCAACTCGACCAATCCCATCCCGACGGCTTGATATCTTTGTTTGCCGATCGCATCCCGCCGACCCGACATATTTCACCATGATATAATTCATTTACATTCTCTGTCCGTTTAACGGTCCAGGTTCACTCGAAATTTTCCTACACAAAAATCTCATTTGACATTTGAGCTACCATGTTGGGTTGAACATTTTATATATTATAATATTATAATATAATAATAATGTACGATACTTCTTTAAAATTTTAAATATTTAAATATTAATGCTAATGTTTTGTCAATTTGATAGTCGAAATTGGGATAGAAGGACGGGGGCAGTCAGTAGACCTTTGTTTAGCCTTTTATATCATTCGCTTCTGATTCCCAAAGCCTGACATTCATGGCTACATCAAAGGAGTCCCATAGTAATAGAAGGGATACTATTGCTTTTTCATTCGCTTCTCTCTCCTTCGATGCCTCTTTATCTCTCCTCTTGATCTCGTAAGATTTATCTGTTTTATCCCCATTGCATTCTTGCCCTTTCGCATTACTCGATACGCCCTTCTTTTTCTTTGCTTCAGAGACCATGAGAAAACCCGAGGGTAGCAAAGCTTCTGCCATGGAGTCTGCATTATCAGGTACCGCTTTTTTCTAATTAGTTTTATAAGAAAATCTCAAGCCTCTTTGTTTGTGGTAGCTTTTGGGACCTTTTTCTTCTGCTTTTTACTGGGATTTTGTTTTGAATTATCATCTAATGGTTTGTTGTTGACAATGTGGCTTTGCTCGTAGAACATTAGAGGCTTAGAGCATTATTTTATGATTTTTTTTATTTATTTAATGGAAATATTGCCCATCTGCAGCTCAGTTTTGTGTGTATAAACTGTTCATGAATCATGATACTGGGGTTGAAGGCTTTGGCATGGAAGTATTTTTCTTATATTTAATCTTAGAAAAAATCCTTCAAAAGTACAAGGGCTGTGCTTTCCTATTGTGTTTTTTGTGGGGCTTAATACTCAAAAGTCACTGCTGAAATAATATTCTTTCAATATTGTCAATGTCCTTTGACTTTTCTGTTTGATGGGTAGTGCTTTGGTTGGTAATAATTATCAGGAACAAATAAAAGGTTGCATTTGCTATATAGTACTGTTGTATCAATAAATTATTCGATCTTGGACTCATCTTGACACTGACAATTGTTCCAAAAGCTTTATATATGTTTATAGCTAAGGGTTTGGCAATGATGGTTTGGTTTTCATGCCATGTGGTGGTTTAAAAAGGGGAAAAGGATATTAGTGGTTTGTGCTTATGTCACTGGCAACTGGATCATATATTAGGATTTCTGTCTGTACAAGAATCCTAAGATTTATGATTAGTTGTTGGCTTCAGGATTTACCTCTTAATGTGCATATTATTTTGACTTCTATAAATCATTCCTTGTCTGTATTATTAATAAGGTGAGGCATGGAGGGGAGGGAGAAGATGCGCCTCAGTTGGCTTTCCTTCTTAACAAATAACATTTGAATCCTTTTTTCGTTTTATTTTTGTTTCTTGTAGGTAAATGACTTGAAATATTGACTTAATCCTCTTTAAAGTTTGGTTTTGGAATACTTCAATGTTGAAGTAGACAAACAAGACAAACACACTTTGTTTGGCTATGCCTGCAACAACGGGTTAATCAAGAACTTTGCCTTAGATAGACCATTAGAATCACGTAGGTTACATATCATGATTATAATTAATCTGGGTGAGAGTTAGAAGATGTAAAGCACCCGAAAATGAATATAATGAACTGGGTGGTGAAATAGAACCATGTAGATTGCTTGTAATGGTTACAAGTTAATAGGGGTGATGGAGTTAGATGGTGTATACTCCAGATAGTAAAGTACGTACTGGTTTTTATTTAGTAGAATATTGATGCAATTTAGAGGATGCTTTTGAAGAAATTAGTCATTTAATAAACTAGCCATGATATTAAAGATGTCGGATGATTGAATGGTGTAGTTGGGGATAATCAGATTACATGTATGCCTATTGAAGCTACCTCCGATAGATATGCTGTACACCACTTCTCTGTCATTCCAATGGAGAATCTTGACCATTAACCATGTGAAACAGAACAAAACAAACATGTATTCAGTGTTTTTTGTTCTCCTCGGACCCTTCTAAACCAAAAAGTTGGCCTAAAGTTTACAACTTCATTTGTGAATGTACAATTGTAATGGTTCTTAAAGGTGAGAATTGGATATGATTATGCTAGTTATTGTAAAGCACATATTTAGCAAACCTTGTTTTTTCTACCTCTACTTCGAGTTGGGTTAAATTTGGATAAATTACTACTAATCTATTCCTTCTTTGTTTTGTTTTAATTCTCTAATAGCTCTAAGTTAACTTATATTCATCTCTGTAAGACTAAGTGGGCTTGGTGATTTTGTATGCTTTCTCTTAAGGTAGGATTGATTTCATAAGACTTCTCCAAAAAAAAGTTGGAGTAATTTAATAGGTAATACAGAAATTACCTTTCTTACGCTGATCCACTAGAGAATAATTTCCATAATATGTGGAAACTAATTAACTCATGAATAAGATATATATGCTTTAATAGTCTTTTTAGGAATCAAGTTTTGGGATGGAAAATCCCTACTAAGAAGAATAGATCTGAAAAGTCAATGTTAATTCACTTGGCTTTTCTGGTTACAATTTATTCCTTAATTAGTAGATACTTGCGTATGTGATGCCCATCTGAATTGTTATGATTTATTTATTATAAATTTATAATAACAGGAAAATGCAATGGCAGTGAGGTTAGGATGGTCATACAAAATCTCTTTTGCTTCCCTTTTTTTCCCCTTTTTTTTTTCTTCAATATGGTACTCATACTTGACTTCATTACAAATGAGATTCTTTTTATCCTCAGGTTTTGTAATTAGTCCTTCTAAATATAGCCAGTTGAGTTTAGAAGAGCGAAGGCAATTAGTTTACGAAATTGTTCAATGGTCGGAAGATGCCCCAAAGGTCCTAAGTTCATTGACCAGGAGAGATCTGCTTGAACTAATATGTGCTGAAATGGGTAAAGAGAGGAAGTACTCTGGCTTCACAAAATTAAGAATGATTGAGCATCTTTTAAAGCTGGTTTCTCGTAAGTCCACGAGAAGTACCAATACACAACTTGATTCCTCCCCCATCCAGAGCGGGGGTGGATTGAAACGACAGTGTATAAAAGAAAACCTATGCCTACCTAATCAGTGTGATGAGGATATGGAAGACATATCTGAGGTCCTATGTCAGAATTTAGCATGTAGAGCTATACTTAATACTGGAGACGCTTTCTGTAGAAGATGTTCCTGCTGCATTTGTCATCAGTACGATGATAACAAAGATCCTAGTTTATGGTTGATCTGCTATTCTGATTATCCCGATGAACCT